TCCTCCTCCTCTTCCCTTTTTCTTCTTTTCTCCTACCCTACACCTCCTCCTCCTCCTCCTCCTCTTCTTCTTCTTCCCCCTTTTTTCTTGTTTCCTCTTCCTCCTCCTTCTCTTTTCCCCCTTTTTTCCTTTCCCCTACACCTCCCCTCCTCCTCCTCGCTCACTCCTCCCTCCCCTCCTCCTCCTCTCTCCCTTTTCTTCTTTCCTCCTCCTCCTTACACCTCCTCCTCCTACAGCCTCCTCCTCTTCCCTTACATCCTTCTCTCTTCTCCTTTCCTCGCTCCTCCTCTACACCCTCCTCCTCCTCCTCCTCCTCCTCTTACCTCCTCCTCCTCCCTCTCCTTCCGATAACCATTCGAGTCCACGTGTCCACTCGCCGATCGGATTGGAATGTATTTGGCTTACTCTTTTACTGGAAGTGTAGAAATGGATGGTTGCGGGCGGTTTCGGGTTAGGGGAGCCTTGGGGGGGCGCGGGGGGACGAGGAGAAGAAGGAAAGAGGAGGAGAGGAAGGAGGAGGAGAGGGCAGAGGATGAAAGAAGGAGGAGGAGGAGCGATGGTGGAGATGGAAGAAGAAGGGAGGAGGTGGGAGAGGGAGAGGAGGAGAAGGAAGGAGTGAAGGAGTGAGGAGTTGGAGAAGAAGGAGGAGGAGTGGGAGATGAAGAAGGAGGAGAGGAGGAGAGGAGATGAGAATGCGGGAAGAAAGGCGAAAGGAGGAGGGTCAGGATAAAAGAAGAGGATAGGGAAAGGAGAAGAGAGAAAAAGAAAGAAAGAAAATAGACAAGAAGAGAGAGAAAGCAAAAGAAGAGAAGACCAAGGGCCAGAGAGTAGAGAAAGAAAGAAAGAAAGGGAGAGAGAGAGGAGAGGATGTAAAGTGGGGCGCAGGCACGAGGGCGAGAGGCGCCTGGCAGAGGGTGACGTAATAGAGGCCTGATGGATATACCGAAAGAGCCCGAAGAGGGGATTCGGGCTTCGGTGCAAAAAGGAAAGTGCGAGGGGAGATGATGACACACACGCGGGGGAAGATGTGCATACGAAGAGAAACAAGGAGAGAGGAGGAGGAGGACGTGGTTAAGGCGTAGGGGCATATATTTGTTTGTGGTTGTGGTGGTGTGGTGTGTGTTTGAGAATTGATGTGTGTGGTGTCTGTGTGTGTGGTGTTGTGTGTGTGGTGTGTGTGTGTGTGTGTGTGTGTGTAGGATAGATAGATAGATGTAGATATAGATATAGACAGATAGATAGATAGAGTCTGATTGTGTATGCAGGATAGATAGATGTAGATATAGATATAAATAGATAGTGTGTGTGTGAGAGAGAGAGAGAGAGAGAAAGAAAGACGAAAGGACGTAAGAGAAAAGAGAGAGGAGAGAGAGAGAGAGAGAGAGAGAGAGAGAGAGAGAGAGGAAAAGACGTATAGGAAACAGAAACATATAGCGACAATTCAAAGAAAAAAAAAAGTACCCAAAACAAAAGCCACACACAAGGTCAAAAAAAGAGAGAGAAATGGACAGTCAAGGAGCAGGAAGTGGAAGACGAAGAAAGAGGAGAAAGAGAGAGAGCGAGAGAAGCGAAAGAGGAGCCACAGGAAAGAAGGAAGGAGACAGGGAAGCACTAAATCAAGAGCTAAATAGAGGAAACGCGATAGAGATTTATGAGATCGATAGAAATGAATTACACAAAAATCACGGAGACCAATTTATAGAAGACGTCCCTCGAGCCGAGAAGGTGGACGACGAAGGCGCTGAAGGTGTGGAGGCGGGCTGCCCTGGCCGAGGAGGAGGAAGGAGGAGGAGGGGGTGGGATGGTTGGGGGCGGGGGTTGCTCGGATATTATAGGTTCAAGGCCAGTTTTTTTTCAGGGATATTTCCGTTTTTTTTTTTCTTTTGCTGTTTCGGCGGGGTTTCTTTTTTTTTCTCTCTCCGCTCTCTCTTTTCACTGCGGCTTTCACTCTCTCTTTTGAGAGAGGGGATCATCCGTGTCTCTATAGTGTGATCATCCTTTTTCTGCTCTCTCTCTTCTTCTTTCTCTCTCTCTATCTCCTCTCTCTCTCTCTCTCTCTCTCTCTCTCTCTCTCTCTCTCTCTCATCTCCCTCATCCGCTCTCCTATCTCTCCTCCTCCAACTCCATCTCTCCCTCTTCTATCTTTCCTCCATCTTCCTCTCTTCCTCCTCCCCCTCCTCTCCCCTCATCGTTTCCATCCCCCCATCTCTCCGTCTTCCTCCCCTCCCGTTTCGCTCCTCCTACTCCACCTACCTCCTTACATCCTCTCTCCCTCTCCCCTCTCTCTCTCTCTCTCTTTAATTTCCATACTTACATTATAACTTTGTGATAAATACGGGAGAAAAGCTTAAGAAAATGGTTTAGAAGGATAACTATGAAACCGAAAAGCTCGCTATAATCCTGTCGAGAATTACCTTTTTATTTTTTTTTTCTATTAATTGGTTTATTTTTATTTTTTATTTATTATTATTATTTTTTTTTTTTTTTTTTTTTTTTTTTTTTTTTTTTTTTTTTTTACCTTGTAGTACAAGAACAACTTAAAGACCAAATTTTAAAGCCAACGTGCAACCTTTAAAAATCATTCGCAAAAAAAATCCTTTAGATCTGGGGTGTCTCGGCTAAACCGCGGCTGAGACCTAATCCCCGTTCTCCCCCTAAAGCGGGGGGGCGGGGCTATAGACCCTTAGCACTTCCTTGGTGTCTTCCCAAGAGCGCGCTGAACCCCCTATATTTTGTCCGGTGTCTCCCTAAAAACGGTGAGCGCGGCTTGACCCTTTGAGATTCCAGTGTCTCCCTTAAAACGGCCTGACTCTCAGATCCGGTGTCTCCCCCCCCCTAAAATACGGTGCATTCGACCTTTAACCACGACTCCCTCGGTTCGTCTCCTCGCTAAAAGCGGGCTGAACCTTAAGAATAATCAACCTCCACACTGGCCACCCGTTCCAGTTCCCCCCCCTCCCCTGTCTAACAGCAGGAAAAGGACAGCCTATTTTTTCTTTTATGTTATACACTTACCTATGTAGGGTTTTTGGGTGCTTAGCGTTAGTGCCATGGGATTATATCGGAAATTTATTTGGGGGGGAGTTGAATTGATATTTAAGGATGGATGCCGTTTTGGGCTCGTAGGGAAGAAGGAGAAAGAAAAAAGAAAAAAAAATAACAATTGGTCCTTTTCTTTCCTCCCCTCCTCTTCCTATAAAAAAAAAAAAGGAGAGGGTCAAATTTAGTGGTTAAGTTGAGGTTGCCTAAACTTCGATTTTTCTCTTTTTTGTTTCTTCGTTGCTTAGATTTTGAGATCTCCGAAACTGTATGATTTGTCGTTCAATTCCCCGTCCTAGAGACAGTGGGCTATAATGAATGGCC